CCACCTCATTTAATAAAAAATAGATAATTTTAAAAAAATGATAAAAAAATTATAAAAGATTTCACCTAAAAGATTGTTTATTTATCTAATAAATTTACAATATAATTCCTCAATAAAAGATGTATTTATAAAGAAGATTGTGAAAATCACTAATAAATTATATTAAAAAGAATATTACAATTTTACAATATAGCAGCATATTATTTTTTTTATTAAAATAACATCAAATAAATAAATTTATTTTCATTTCAAAATATAATAATATAAATAAAAAATATTAAATCAATCCATGTTTATTTGTTGATAATAATAAAATATTTACATTAAATATAAATAAAATAAATTATTTTACTAAAATAAATAAATAATAATTAATACTAAGCATCGATGCAGAATTTTGACTAATTTAATTTTAGCAGATTTATATAGGCTTAGCCGATTTTTAGGCTTAACCTAATTAGGCTTAGCCGATTTTTAGTTTTAGCCGATTTTTAGGCTTACCTAATTAGGCTTAGCCTTATTAGGCTTAGGCGTAGTTTTTAGCCGATTACGCAACACTATATATATATATATATAAATAATTTAATAATAGTTAGACAATTCTATAAACAAGGAAAATATCAATCCTTTTACTTTAAAAAGGAAAAAAATAGAAGCATCTAAATACAAAAATATATGAAGCTGAAAAGATGGAGGTATTTCGAGGTAAATAACTATTTATTAAATAAATATTTATTTTTGAAAAAGATTTAACAAAAAAAATATCCCAATATGATGATAAACATAATCTCATGGGATATTTCAAATCATTTTTAAATGATTTCAACACCATGACACCCAAGAAAGTTTTGGAATTGAAAATCAAATTTTCTGAATTATTATTACCATATATATAATTTTATATACATATGTTTTATATTTAGATTTATTATAAAATATTTTATACATATGTTCTAATTTTTTTAGATTAATAATAAAATATTTTATACATATATTGTATTTCTTTTTAATATTAATTTAGATATCACAGACTCATACAATATAAACAAAACAACACCTTTTATTGAATATTTATATATAAATGTATAACTTTTACAAATTTATCATAAATAATAAAAAATTTATAGTAAATAATAATGAAGTAACATTATAATACAATTAAAATAAAATTAAGATGGGAATAAGTTAATAAGGTAATGGTAATTAAAAAATAGATGTATATAAAAATTTTACATATAAGGCTTGATATAATATAAAATTTAATATATATTATTTACATATAAGTTAAAATTTTCTCTAATATTGTTAGAGCTTTCAGTCCATTGCTGGAACTGAGATTGGGTATTGTTCATAAGTTATTGGTATACTGTGATTTCCCTCAATATCAATAATAAGATTATGTAATAAACAGTCTGCCTTAACTATTTGTATTATATTGGTAATATTGGTCTCTGATGATTTATATAAGTGCCTAAATTTTGCACTCATAATCCCAAAGCATCTTTCAACATACACTCTTGCTGTGTATAATTTTCTATTAAAATTATATTTATATTCATTTAAATTTGTTTTATAGGGTTTCATGATAAAATTCATTAATGGATAAGCATCATCTCCCACAAATACATATGGTGATAATATATTTGATGAAGGTAAAAATTTGGATTAGGTATCTTGATGATTTTATTGATCATTCCTTCATAAAATTGGCTCTTTATAAAGATGCTTCTATCTGAGATAGACCCAGGAAAACCAACCTCAATTAACAAAAATCTAGAAAAGAATTAAAATTTAGAATAAATATAAATACCTAGCTTTGTCATCTGAAACACCTTGAATCACAATGGAATTAAATTTTTTATAATTAAAATATGTGGATCCATTATTTTTAGGTTGTTTTATTTTTACATGCTTTCCATCAATAGCACCTATTATGTGAGGAAAACCTGATTTCCTAAAGTATTCTGCTGATATTTCAAGCATCTGTTCAACTGTTGGTAAACACAGATGCTTGGGTTGAAGACCTACCCATATTAACCTACATGTTGATGTGACAATAATGCTCATTGATGATTTGCTCATATAATGGTATTTTTCTAAAGCTCATACCAGAAGTCAAATATCTATAAATACATTCAGATTATTTATATAAAAAAATAATCATCATACATGAGTGTTAAATAGAGCCTATGCTTCATACTGATAGAGTTTTTAAATTTAACTATAGTGGTGTCTATAGACTCCAAATTTATAAGTATGTAATTGAATGTTTCCACATGCATGTGGAACATCTGACAAAATTTGTCAGGATAAGAAGGAATACTATCAAATATTTTAAATAGTCCTTTATCTCTATAATTAATATATAATATAAATAATATCATATCATATATATATACCAGTCATCTAAAAATCTATGCCTTTTTATAAGTTTAGGAGTATCCTCAAATAATATAAAATATAGAAGTAGTAAATCATGCACATCAAACATTTTGTATATTTTATAGAAAATAAATGTATGATTGGACACGTTTCGTAATCTCTCAAAATTCACGAAAGTTGTGCATTTTGGAAAATAAAAATCTGAGAGAATGATAATATTTTAATGTCAACCTTTCATATATATAATATATAAATCAGAAACCTAAAACAGTAATCACGTATACCCGGCAAAGGTTTTGTCATTTTGGTTGTATTAGGTAAGCCGATGCACATGAATGATGTTCAAAAGATTCCTAATAAAAAAATTTAATCAGCCAAGTCTGATTCGTATATTATTTTTTCGTTCCTGATTTTAGATTCTTATTATTTTAAGTCCCATCACGAGTACCCGAGCATATCCGGGCCTTGATGTATTATGGCAGATCTGATTAATTGCATAGGTGTTATTGTTGTTAAAGGGCGCGATTTGAGCCGATTTTTCAAAATATCCAACTAAATATTATATCCAGAAAAATATTTGGCAAGCCTGAAGATTTTACTCATAGATGACATAAAGGTTTGGACATCTATTAGCGAAATCTTGTGGTTTAGGTAATATTTTACTAGCTAAAATATTGAGTTAGATATTTTTATAAATCGGCCTAAATCGAGCCGTTTAACAACACTACTAAGTGTTAATAAGCCAAAGATAAAATAGAGAAGTTTTTTGTAAAATAAATAGAAATAATTTTTAGCATGGTTATATATATATATAAATAATTCAAACTAGGACAAATACTAGTTTCATAGAGCCATATAATTGGCCAGGCCCATAGCATAAAAAAAGAATTGTTCTCAGCTTCTTTTTCGCTGTTTGAACTACAAAGACAATCACAAATTTTTTTCTTTAAAAAAAAGAAAATCTTTAAAAAATCGGGAGATAGAGCCAACGGTTTGCTATAATGGCTCATTCAACTAGCACAAGCTAGTAAAATTTTCAACTGCTAGCAAATTTGATAAAAGAAGAACCCATCTAAATTCTGATACATATAATTCTTTATTATTTTGACATATTTGGAAATTAGATTAAATCAATTTCGTTTATGTTATAAGCAACAATTCAAACTTCGAAATTGATGGCCTCATTTCGCATTATTGTATAAACGCTATTATATATGAATTTTCATATTTGTCAACTATCACTATCCAAGAGGATACCTCAATCGACCAGATTGATAATTTTGAAAAATATAGGTGAATTCACTGATGTTTCGTTAAATCGTTATAGGACCTGATCTAAAGATTGCTTTGGATGGGTTAAGGTAGAAAAATTAATATTGCAGTATTCTACCACTGATATCCAAAAATTATTTTGCTTAAGTTGAAAGTTGTGTGAACCTTAGTATATAAACCAAGCACCTTTTTTTTTATTTTGAAAAGGAAAACCCTTATGTAGGAGCTAATTAGATGCATTTACTTCATTATATTTTTTTGAAAATAATCAATATTTAAAGAATTTTTTTTTATATAGTATATTTCCCCTTTGATTATAACGTTGCAAACTAAAATAGGAAAAGTAAAAAATGGCCATATTTGGAAGAAAGCTAGTCATTTTTCGTTTCAGAAAAAATCTAGTCAAAATATAATTCATTTTCTACAAGACCTAAAGGGATAATGTTAAGATAAAATTGCTATCGTTTCCTATAGGTCAAAACCGAAAAAAGGTTTTGGCAATTTCAACCACCCATAAAGGATTGATATCTTATAATTGGAGCAAGAGCAGCGTATATGCCCAACTTTAATCCGTAAAATGGGCGCATGGAAAAACAAATAGATGACCTTTATGCTACTTTTTTTGTACTATCGAATACTACTCTCGATTCTCGAAATATAAAAAAACAATGGCTATTAAAGCTAAGTATTCCTTTGGTAATCTAAGACAAGAAGTGAACAGCAACAGATTAAAATGAAGTAACACTTAAAAACCAGGCCCCAACAATTGTCAAGTTTGTCACTTTAAGATAAGGTAGGATGACACTTTCTCGTCACTTATGCCACAAATCCTTCTAAAGAACATCCAACAATTTGTTGTGCCAATTGTAGTAATATTAAATAGATTTTAATATTTATATGTTGTAATTTAATAAAATCATCATTCATTCTTATGATTATAAAAAAAACTTTAAACTGAACTCTCCTAAAAATAAATAAAAATATTAGTATTTTAGATCCATGTTAATTATTAACGGTCTTGTAACAGGAATAAGTTAATTAGGGTTAAAACCCCTATAAAAATCGGTATCGGAATAAAAAGATCGGTAGATCCGATCTCTTCTTCAAAATGCTAAATGCATCACTGGTTAGCCAGCAATTAGATTCACCATTTAAAAATTACAAAAAACATAAGCCTCATTAATAATTAATTTGAATCCCAAAGTTTTTGAAAGATCCTAATAAAAAGAGGCGATTCAAATTTTTAAGAATGCGCATTAGTTATTAAAATACTTATAGTTTGAAATAATTATTTTTGCAAAATACAACAAAATTATGTAGAATGTTAAAAAAAATGTAAATATAACTTTTTATTCTTGTCATCTTGAGGAGTTGTTTTCGAAAATGATTTAAAGTTTGTAATTGTTTTAATCATATCTTTATTTTGAGGCTCCAATTGGTTGGTTAGTGTAGCTGTAATACTAAGTTCTTTATCCTTAGATATTGTATGCCCAAAAATATCTGATATAGATATGATGAGGTTGGGATGCTTATTGGTGATGGTGGAAGCAGGCACATGAAATGAGATTACTACTGGTGAATGCATCTATAATTATCATATCAAATATATAAGATTGAAGTTAAGCTATAATTTAAATTTAAAACTCAGAAAAGATAGGAAACCAATAACTTTATTAACAACTATTTTAATTTCTATAAAAATGTTAAACAAAAAATTGTTTTATTGAGGAATTTTTTTAAATTTAATATAGTAACTAGAGGTATCATGACATAAAATGTATGGGTTATGATGTTACCCATCGTAATCAAGCAATTTAATAAAAATTAATTGTTAACGTGAAAATTTGATTTAAATTTTATAAAAAAATTTTTAAATTAGTGATTCACGATATTTATTAAATCGACCCAATACCATTAATACCGATATTTGTAGCCACTAATTAATTTAAATCTAGTGTTCTAAAATTTTGCAAATTAATTAAGCATGATCTGTCTCAAGAAAAAATAACAGCCCAACCTAAAATATTTGTAATTTGTTACATAATATTTATTATATATTTTTTGAACGATTAATTCATAAAAATAGAAAGCAAACGATTAATTCATAAAAATAGAAAGCAAACACTATATAATACAGAAATTTTTTTAATAAAAATTAATTTATAGATATTTCATTTCTTTTGTTCGAATATCAATATATCCAGTTTCAGTGATTTTTCAGATATTAGAGGTAGCTGATGTCGTTACTTCTGATAAGTAACTAATTAAATTTACATCGCTGAAAAGATAACTAGTTATATTTTTATAAAGAGTAACTTGTTACCAATTTATTTAATATAAACTTTTTCTTGTCCAAAATAAATTTTCAACAAATTTTAATAAAGAAATTTAATTAAATAAAGAAATAATTGCAAAAAATATACCACAAGGTAGACCTGTGCGATTAAATTATTATTTTAATTTGAATACTAACATTAATTAAATTAAAATATGAATTGTATTCTATTACTATATATCAGAGACCTGCAGAGGTACCATTTGTACAGCCCCGCCCAGATTAAAAAATTTTCGGCCCGGCCCGAATTAAAAAAAAATTTTTTTTAGGCCCGGCTCGTAATTTTTTAAAATTATATTCGACCTGGTATATACAAAAAATTCATTATTTCGTATTTTATCATATTTTTCGGCGAGTATTATCATTTATTAAGCAAGTATATTAGCTAATGTTGTTAAACGGCTCGTTTTGAGCCGATTTTTAAAAACGGCTAACTCAATATTTTCGCCAGAAAAATATTGACTAAGCCTCGAAATTTCGTTACTATATGTCTAGACCTTTGCTCCTTCTATTAGCAAAATTTTCAGGCTTGCATAATATTTTTCTGGATAAAACACTAAGTTAGCCGTTTTTAAAAATCGGCTAAAAACGAGCCGTTTAACAACACTTTATTTTATTTTATTCTAAACAGATATTTAGTATATTACAAATTGATACTATAAAAATTTGTGTAAATAATATTTTGAGAATATACTATGTATTTATAAAAAAAATAAAAATGATATTTTAATTAATAAAAAATATACTAATCATAAATCAAGTTATGGCTGGAGGTACTTTGGAACTTATTTTGAAGAATGAAAATAAGAAAATCACAATAATGCCTGATTATATATATTGCTTAAAATTGGCGAAAAAAGATGAGGAAGATTCAAATACATAATTCATTTTCACAATAATTTATTTTTATTTTAGACTTTTATATATATTTTATATTAGTTACGAAATAATTTTTTTTAGTAAGAATATAAGTACAAGTAATCTTTCTCGGCACTTAGTTAATGTTCATAAAATATCAGAAAATATTAATAATGATAAATCCATTCAAAGTCTAAAAATGTTTTTAAAGCCAACACCAAGATGTAGCAGGAATATAAAAGATAAAAAATGGCTCTTAGGATATTATTATTGTTTATTATTATTCATTTAAAATTTTTACTGGTTTGTTAAGTTAAAGCTTTATTTTGAAAGTTCAAAACAATTAAATTTTTAGTTTGTTTATTGCAGCTCTATTTTGAGATATTTTTAATGTATAAACTTAATATATAAATTATTTAATTAATTATGTAAAACTTTATTTTTGAAAGTTAAAACTAAATGAAATTTATAATTTGTTTCATTCCAGCTCTAATTATTTTGATGTTTTTTAAATATCTTTTTAATGTGTAAACTTAATATATAATTTATTAAATTAATTATTTAAAACTTTATAAACTAAATCATTTTATAATCTGTTTCATTCTAGCTCTAATTATTTTGATGTTTTTTAAATATCTTTTTAATGTGTAAACTTAATATATAATTTATTAAATTAATTATTTAAAACTTTATAAACTAAATCATTTTATAATCTGTTTCATTCTAGATCTAATTATTTTGATGTTTTAAATTCTTTTTAATGTTTAAAATAAATATGAAATCTAATAGAGCGAAATTATATTTTGATGTGCAGCTTAGATTTAATGCCATTTGATTCTATAAACAATAAAGCAATATATGATTTTCTAAAGGTTTAAAATTTATATAAAATTATTATTAAAAAATAAATTGCCTAAAAAAATAGAAATATAATTGATTCCTCGTCAGAATTGACAAATAGGACAACCATTAGTGGGGATGCACTAGACGATGTTTAATTATCTATAAAGGCGTATGTTTTAAATCTAATTGATTCTGGACCAAAATTTTGTTCTACCACTTTTGATTTATGGACCGATCATTTCAAGCGTCTAAATTATATCACATTTAGTCTTCATCATTTATATGAAAATTTTGATTTAAAATATTTTACCCTAGCAACTAGAAATGTGACTCAAAAATATACTGTGGGGAACAATATTATCGAGATTGATAGTATTGAAGAGGAGTTCCAATTTATAAGCTAAAATAATACATGTGGTAACTGATGCTGGGGCCAATGTCAAAAGAAGCATCAGATTAGGCGATTATGAATCATTTATGCTTAAGGCATGGACTTCATAATTTGGTTACAGTTGATGGCATAAAAAAAATTTCTAGAATTGATATTCTCATTAAAAAAATTAGAGAAATTATTTCAGCCCTCAGATATCGAGTAGCTGATTTGGAATGCAAAATTGAGGCTGAACATCGTAAATGTCTGCAGTCAATTTAGGGAACAGGTCATATCTTGGATATTGATGATTCTGATCCATACCTTGATGACCATTTTGATATGTCTGATGAATCGGATAATAGAAATGGCATTGCACCAACCAATCTAATTAATGCAACAACTTTAAAATTAAATTGCTCAACCCGCTGGCATAGCATATTAATTATGCTAGAAAGTGTTCGCAGTATAAACAAAATTCCTATAAATAATGTTCTAAATAAAATAGGAAAACAATCTTTAAAACTCTTTAATAATGAATGTGATTGATGAGCTTTACGCAGTATTAAATCCATTTCGAGAGTTGGTGAAATTTCTTTCCTCTTAAAAAGGATCGACAATAAACTTAGGGTTATTCGCAGTGAAATAGAATCTCATATACAAATCAATAGATCTGTGAAAACAAAGCTTGACCATAGATTTCCCATTATTGAACTTCAAGTTATTTTATATTTTTATTAATAAAATTATATTTTAAACATTAGATATTAGCAACTCTACTTGATCCCAGATTTCAAAATCTTAAAGTTATTTCAGAATATTTAAATTCGATAAATCTGAATTCTGACTTAGTATATTTCATACTTTATATTTTGCTTGCATTCCAAATTTATTTTAATTATAATAAAAATCAATAGAATATTTATTATATTGAGTAAAAATGCAATTCCTTAGTCTATTTCTGAGAATGAGAAAATACATAAATTTAAATTGGAGTGAGACATAAATAATTTAAGATCAATTAAATTATGTTAACAAAGTGTTAGAAAAGATCGCCCAAATAAATTATAAAAAAATGTAATACATTGATTTATAAATTAAATTCATTAAAAAATAAATTGATTTATAAATTAAATTCATTAAAAAAAATTTAAAATAAATATTGCGCCGCCGCCTCCGACAATTTAATAGGCAGCGGCGAAATCGGCGCGCCGCCGTACGCCGATAAAAAAATTAAAAATACCGCCGCCGTCGATTGAGACATCGGCGCACAGGTTTACCACAAGGTAAATATTTGTTTTGAAATTTATTTTACCGCTATATGTAACATTTATGTGAAAGTGAAAATATATATAAAAAATATATTAACATTATTATGTAAAATAACCCTCCTTTTATCGTAATTCAATATTAATTGTAAACATCGATCAATTTTCTAAAGTCATCTATTATTACCAGTTAGAGCTATGATTCCGCTATTATATTGACGCTATTGTCAAAAAATAATTATTCTGTTACCAACTACCATAATTAGAATTTGTATCCTCATTAGTGGAGTTTATAAAAAAAGGGAAGGTCCTAAAGGTTCTTTTATTTATTTCAATTTTTTCTATCACCATGGCTAAACCGCATTTGCACGTTACAAATTCTTTTATTTCGTTGAAACTTATATTATTACTGTAATTTTCAGGATTAGCATATAATATGTTCGAATTTCATTTAAATCCAAGGGAATGGAATAACTCATGTATTTTATAAGTTCCTAGAATTAAGCAGGCTTGATTAAATTTATCGCGCAATAATATTTCTTTCTCGTATTTTTGGTTAAATAGAATAATGATGGCTGGGTAGCGATAAGTGACGTAATAATGAACCTCTTCCAGAAAAATAAATAACACTTTTAACAGACTTTGATTGTTAAGTCCTAGCGAAAGATACCCTTTGTCAAATGAAAATGTGTAATCAACGGCATTTTCATTAAATACATTTTATAGTTGATTTTGAAGTGAAACCCCTAATCTGAACGCTTTTTTTGACATTGGCCTGATGCTCATAATCCCCTAATCTGACGTTTCTTTTGACATTGGCCCCAGCATCAGTTACCATTTGTATTATTTTGGCTTTTAAATGGAACTCCTCTTCATATCAATCTTAGAGAATATTGTTTTTTCAGTATGCTTTTGAGTAACATTTCTAGTTGCTAGGGTAAAATATTTTAAATCAAAATTTTCATCTAAATGATGAAGACTAAATGTGATATAATTTCGACGCTTGAAATGATTGGTCCATAAATCAAAAGTGATAGAACAAAATTTTGAGAATCAATCAGATTTAAAACATGCTCCTTTATAGATAAATAAACATCGTCTAGTGCAGCCTTACCAATGGTTGTCCTATTTGGTAATTCTGACGAGGAATAAATTATCATTATTTATATTTTTTAAGCAATTTATTTTTTAATAATCATTTTTAGGGCTGTGCCGATATTAAATATCGGATCGGTCCCGATATTTGGCGTTTTTCAAAAATATCGGATCGGCCCGATACCTGTAAAAAACCCGATCCGATCCGATCCTTTTAATAAAAATGCAATTCTTATAAAACTTTGAATTATTATTTTTTAATAAAAAAAATTTTTTTATTTCGAGTTTCTATTTTACATTAATAATATTTTATAAATAATTTTTTTTTAAACAATGCAAATGTTATTTATTTTTTTAAATAGATTTTACAAGTTTTTTTATAAAAATAGAAAGGAACACCCAAAGTTTTATTTATTTTTAATTTTTTAAAAAAATAACACCAATTTTATTATTTATACTTTAAATAAAAATTATTTTAAATATGGTTTCTGAATTATGGAAATATTTTGATAAAGATGAAGGTAATTTTGCAAAATGCGTCATCTGCGGAATATATTATAATTTTATATATTAAATATTACAATTTTATAAACCAACATAAAATGGATATATTATTATATATTTTTTTTAAAATTATTGTTGAAATAAAAAAATTAAATTATGCATAATTCTTTTATGCATAAAAAATATTGATTTATTAATTACATTTGGTTCAAAGAGGGGTGGTAAAAAATTAATATAAATATCGGATCGGTATCGGATCGGTTTTGAACCAATATCGGAAAATATCGGATCGGATCGGTAAAAAATATGTGGATCGGCACAGCCCTAATCATTTTATATAAATTTTAAACCTTTAGAAAATCTGTCATTCCTTTATTGTTTATAGAATCAAATGGCATTAAATCTAAGCAGCATATCAAAACATAATTTCGCCCTATTAGATTTCATATTTATTTTAAACATTGAAAAGATATTTTAAAAACATCAAAATAATTAGAGCTGGAAGAGAAAAAAATTATAAATTTGATTTAGTTATAACTTTAAAATAAAGTTTTACATAATTAATTTAATAAATTATATATTAAGTTTATACATTAAAAAGACATTTAAAAAATATAATAATTAGAGTTGGAATGAAATAAATTATGAATTTGGTTTAGAAGTAACTTTCAAAATAAAGTTTTACATAATTAATTTAATAAATTATATTATACATTAAAAGATCTCAAAATAGAACTCAATAAATAAACTAAAAATTTAGTTGTTTTGAACTTTCAAAATAAAGTTTAATAAAATTAATATTACAAACCAGCTAAAAATTTTAAATGAATAATAATAAACAATAATACTAACCTAAGAGCCATTTTTTATCTTTAATATTGTTGTTGCATCTTGGTGTTGGCTTTAAAAATATTTTTAGACTTTGAATGGATTTATTATTATTCATTTTTTCTGTTAGTTTGTGATAATTAATTAAGTGCCAAGATAGATTACTTGTACTTATATTTTTACTAAAACATTTTATTTCATAACTAAAATATAAAATATATAAGTCTAAAATAAAAATAAATTACTGTGAAAATGAATTATAATTTTAAGCAAGGTTCACAATAAATATAATCAGGCATTATTGTGCTTTTCTTATTTTCATTCTTCAAAATAAGATTTCCATAATTGTATATAGGGTGGTTCAAAACGTGCAAGTCCATAAAAATAATTAATATGAATTGTTTGTGGAAAAAAAATATGATGTATGAATGAATGTAAATGATATACACTAGTCTATTATATATAGAAATAGAATACAATTCATATTTTAATTTTATTTATGTTAGTATTCAAATTAAAATAATAATAATTTAATATATAAATATAATTAATATGCTTTCTTAAAATTACACACACCGCGCTGCAGTCATAATATAAAATCGGCGGCTTTTCTTGCGTGAAAAAAAATACCGGCGGTGCACAGGTCTAGATCTATATTGGGCCTAATTTTTCAAGCCCGGCCTGGCCCACAAAATTTTTTAAAAATGTTTTGCCAGCCCAGCCCAAATTTATTTAAATATAAATTAATTTTTATAATTACTCAAAATAAATGATATATGGCTTCTAGTTTCTATAAATAAAATCTAATATTTTTATTTTACATTAAAAATTCAGCATAAAATTGTTAAATTTAGATATATTAAAAATAATTTCCAAAGCCTGACCCGACCTGAATTTTTTAACAAATATTAGGCCCGGCACAGCCCGAACCCAATTTTTTTTAAAAAAATAGACCCAAGACCAGCCCACCAGGTCTAATTTTGCAGATATCTCTATGCTATGTATCGGTACCGTTCCAATATGCATTATTGGCACCATCAATCTTAACTCATATAAGAGATATGTTATGAAATTTTTTACTATTCACACATAATTTATATAAATTTTATCAATTTATATATTTAATGAAATATTATAAATTGCAAATTATTTATTAGAAGTTATGTGGATGCCATTTAATATAATTTCCAATCTATATAAGTAATAGCAGCATCAATAGATCTTCTATCTTTACCCCTTATTTTTCTTAAATACATGTCTTAATTCAATATTGTATAACATGTATTATATATTTAAGATATTTATAACCTACATTTTTTATGTCATTACATTTATTTTTATAATAAAAAAATATTTTAATAAAGATGTATCTATTTAAGAATTAAGCCTTTAAGTCTTTCTCTTAGATAAATTATTCCTCTAAATATTTAGTTTGCTTATTCCACTTGCCAAGGCTATTTGAAAATAATTTGGTCCTGTTTTTAGGCATTGTCTATCATAACTTCCTACTTTCCCCCGGTCTGAATTTATCTCTGCATCAATCTAATGAATTACCATATAATACCCTTTAACATTCCACCTCTGCTTACTTAGATATAAAAAAGGTTGATTATCTTTTGGCCAAAATTACTGCCAAACACAATAATTTTGCTGCTAAAACTACAGCCAAACATGAAATTTTGGCAAAATAAATCCCTCTAAACTATAAGTTATAATTATTATAACATCATAAGCAATTTATTGATTAAGAATTTATCATTCTTCTATTGATTCCTTCTAAACAACATTTTGATTCCTTAGGCTACTTTTATTAGGGCTACTAAAAAATTAAGGCAGACCCTTATATAGCCTGGTCTCAATTGCAACAACTTCTGCTATGCTAGTTGTTAAACCAATAATAATAGGAAAACAAGCCAAAATTAAAAAATTGATAGTATAAGAATATTTACTTGAAACCAATTTAGTAAATCTCTAATATAAATACTTTATTATTGAGGTAATTATACTTTATGATTTGAAATAGATTTGAGAGCTTGATATATATAATATGCATTTTTTGAATCTGTTTGGTTTTTTTTATCCAAGAGATAATTGACACTTTTTAGTACTCTCTCCTATAACATATTATTAATTAAAATATAATTATGACCTAAAATACTTCATTTAATTGGTTCTCAATAGGCATTTGTTTGGAAAGTTTATATATTGTATCCATTAATAAACCAGTTATTGCAACACCACCATTAAACTAATAAATTATATTTAGTTTTATAGAATAAAATTTAAATATACTTGTAAAAACTTATTGTCTATTTCTTCAGCCTGAAGCATAACATTTTTTATCTGAGCTTCTATCACTTTTGAGTCTCTATGCTTAGGATTAAGCAAAACAAATTTCAAAAAGAAAGCAATGCTTAAAATGATTTTAGTATTGTAGATAAATCTTTACTATACTTATTGATAGAAGGATCATTTGTTAAAATTTCAAGCATTTGATTGTAAAATTTGTCAGAAATAACTAAATTATATTAAAGTTTAATTAAATATTCTTAAATTAAAAAAATTAACCAAAATGTCCATATTCTATCATAGTTTTATATATTTGATATAGTTTCATAATTGATTTTTGTTCAGTAACCTTATTTTTTAAAACATCTTCTGAGTCAGCAGGTATAATCAACTAAATAAAAAGCTTTTCTTCAAATTTATATATTGAATATTACCTTACACCCAGGTACTTTATCTATAAGCATACTAATGAAATATAATTCTTGTGCATTAAGTTCATTCTTTTCAAGATCTAGTAATCTTTGACAAGTTATCTAATTTAGCATGATTAATAATTACATTTACAATATTACTTTAGGGATATCGTTTTCGAATCCAATATCCTCTAATGCAATTATTGGATAAACATATTGCGATAAATCTTTAGCATTGCCAATAGTTTTTATATATAAATTTTTATATGCTGTTTTATCTGATGAAGAAAAGATAGTATCAGGTATAAATGATAATGCTGAACATAAAACAACTAGCGAAAACGCAATAAAGAAAGTTACTAATGAAGGATATAGCATGTAAGATTTCTAATTATTTACTCAATCTCATTTGAATCACAATGTGTTAAAGACGTGTTATCGATTATATTCTCACAAGGAACAAAGGTTAATAAATTTGGGTGTTTCATTTCTCCAACGAAAACTATATTATATTTTCAATATTAATAAAATATTGCTTGTTTCAGAATTGAATATTATATTAGTTAAATTTCCTTCTCCAAAATTACCCTGAGCGTCTTATATAGAGTAAAATATCTAGCATTCTGCAATAAATGCCAGATTTAGATTAAAGTATATTAATTTTTGAGTTAATGTCTTTTTTTAAGAGGAGATGTCCTCCTTTGAGATGTTCAAAAATATGTTCGATTCCTCTTTTTTAATAAATAATTTCTTTTACATATAATTACAGGAAGAGTATTTTACAATTACCATAACAAGTTTTGTTTGTTTATATTTATTCATCATGTTATTTTTTCATTAATTTATTATATGTATCATTATATACTTTTCTAAATTCGTTGAGCTTGATTATAAAGAACTTATTATCACTCAAAAATACGATGGCTTTTTATTTCCTTATGTCCGGCATCTTAAATGTATGACTCCTTATAATTGCAGTATTAACAATCATCCACCAATTTGATGAAAAAATTAAATCAGTTGAGAAATAAAATAATTCAGTTATCAAAATCTTAAACCATATAAAATAATTAAAATATTTACCAACTGATGAAATATTTCAATTAAAGGTAGAGAAAGTATTTTATATTCAAAAGGGAATCCATGAGCCTATTTTTTTTGATTGGTTAAGATACTTACTAAAATACTTACCAAAATAAAATAAGAAGAAGGTCTTTAATTTTCCTTTATTTTATTTTATATAAACTACAATAATTTCCATATAAAAATTCACAATTTTTAAATAAAATAAAACTATCTTTAAAAAAATTATTATAACTTTTAACAAAAAGAAATAAGTGATTTTTTTAACATATATATTTTTTTCACGTCTAGTATTTTATATATAAATATAAACATAGGCGTAGCCAAGGGGGGGGAAGGGAAATCCCCCCCCCCTTCAGAAATTTATCACTTTTTGTGAATGTCACAATTGGGAGTTTTTGGATTGTGAACTTAAGAACCTAAATATAAAATAAAAATAAATATATACTAAAATTATAGTTTTGAATCCTTTATTAAATACTAATACCAAAATTTAATTAAAAATTATATAATTAATATAAAGTAAAAACCAGTGACGAGGCGTCAAGTTTACTACTAGGAAAGCAATCAAAAAATTTTTTTATTTTATTTATTAGTCAAACCATAAAAAATTAAGATTTATAAATAAGCGGAATTCCTCTTTGTTTTTGAGTAAAATGATCAAGTACTGAATTATAAAAGTTATTACTAGATTTTAAATTTTTCAATAATTTTTTTTCAATAGAAATCAAAGCTAGATTCGATAATCGATTTTGACTCATTCTGTTTCTACAATAAGATTTGATTATTTTTAAAGATGAAAACCCCCGTTTTGCACTTGCTGTTGTTGCAGCCAAAGTTAAAATGAATTTGCATAATTTAAAAAACTCTTTAAACTTTTCATCAAATAGGTATTTAAAAATTCAAGTATTTCATAAAAAATTTTTCTCTTTCTAAATTCATCGTCACGAAACACTACCTTTAATTCGGTTTCCAGCTTGTGTAAGTCGAAAAATTGAGAATAAGTGTCATTTAAATTGTCTAATAAATATTTTGGGAAATTTTGATCAAATATTTGAAATTTACTAATATCTAACAATTCGACGAATTTGATATTTTTTAATGTATCAAACCGAAAATCAATTTCATTGATTATAGTATCTATTATTTTAATTATCAAATTTTTATAAAATTCTCTTGTATTAGGCAATCCGGATCTATTACGTTTTTTATCTAAATTGTCTTCAATATTTTCCTTTACATTTAAATTTCTCCAAAAAACATCAAAGTTTTCTATGTTAGATTTAACTGAATTTCTGAAATCGTTAATACTTTTAAGACAATATGATACATCGTTAATTTTAGTTTGAAGTATATCAAATAATAAATCAGATTCTGGAAAAACTTCTTGAAAAAAATATAACAAAATTAGAAAATTTGCATCATTTAATATATTTAAATAGCCACGAGATGTTATTAGAACATCATTATCCCAAACAATATCAGATTCTTCATCAATCATACTTTCAAAAAAAACGACTAGATCCTTCAAATAATTGAAAACTGTTTGAACCAGCCGACCATTGTATTCCCATCTTGTTGGGGCTACTCGTGGTAATCTTTTTTAAACATATATATCAAATTCTGCTGTACGCTTAGATGATGTACTAAAAAAACTGGCTAAACCAGATAAAGTTGCAAAAAAACCTTACATTCTTTAATTTTGCTGCAAGATTTAATATAAGATTTAACTAATATAAAGTGCAGAAGGATTGACGTCTCTAATTTTTGCTTGCAGTCCATGTGAATCACCTGACATAACAGCTGCGTCATCGTAACTTTGACCTATCAATTTTTTCATAATTTTCTTACATTCAAAAATTTAATGACAAATTTTGATAAAGAATTAGCATCACGATGCATTGTAACATCAAAGAATTCAATAAATCTTTCATATAATGTCCCGTTATTTAAAACATATCGAAGAAGTACAGCCAGTTAGGATTTATTATTTATATCAATTGTTTCATCTAATATTATTGTTATAAATTCCGTTTCTTCCAATTCATCTAATATTTTTTGGTGTAAGACATATGAAATTGAATTAATTAAATCATTTTGGATATCACTTGATAGTCCAATAAAAGTTGTACTATTTTCTAAATGATGTTTTAATAGAAAATTTTCTTCCGCGAGCAAATAAATTAATTCAATATAATTTCCTCTATTTACTGAATTAGGTGATTCACCATCTCCACGGAATGCGAGCTGCTGAACACCAAGAAAACATATAGAATTGATTAAAATTTTCAATATTTCTCTATTTAATTTAACTTTCGAATTATGCTGTTCGATAGATATTTTGCGCATCAAATCTATCATATTTTCAATACGAATTTCGCCAAATATAATTGAATCATCGACTGCAAATGAGCTGTTGATTTTTCATGTCGTTTAACTGCCTTTGAAAAATTATTCATATTCGAAAATCCTCTATCATTCCAAACATATTTTTCCTTTGGGAATAATAAGCATGACCAACAATATGGAGAATTAGAAAATTCACATCCAGTGAGCCATTCATATTTATCATATTTATCGATAGAAAAATTACGAATGCAAGATTTTATTTCTTTTTTTAAATTTCTTAAAATTGACTTTGGTCTTCCTTTTCCAATAATTAATTTTTTGGTATCAAAATTTCTTGAGCTAAATGATAATATTAATAAATTTCAATAATACAATTACAATTATTAAACATTAATTTAAAGAAAAAAAATTTTTTTTAAAAAAAGTAAGAAAAAAAATTTAATATAAAAAATTTATTTTTCTTTTATAAAAGAATAAGCATTTTTTTTTGCTTCCCCAATGCTTATTTTTTAATCGTAAAATTAAACAATATCATAACATGATTTTCTATTTATTTATTGAAAAAATAAGCAATATTAAATTTGCTTCCCTCTTGCATACTTTTTTTAACGTAATAAAAAAATTACAACAAAAAAATATCGTATGAATCATGATTTATTAGTATATTTATTATAGGAAAATAAGCAAAATTAAATTTGCTTCCATCATTTTTTAACATAGTAAATATAATAGTAACTTTTTTTACGTAGTAAAAAAAATAGTAAATTTTTAAACGTATAGTAAAAATAATAGTAAATTTTTTAACGTAAATTTTTTATCGTAGTAATATACTATAAATCTTTTTAACGTTATAAAAAATATATTAATTATTTTAAGGAAGTAATTTTTTTTTTTTAGCATAGTATAAAGATTATATTAAGTTTATAAGAATTTTGTAAATATGGAAGCTTCGTCCCTGGTAAAAACATAACCAAAAAAAAAATAAAAATAAAAATAAAAGTAAAAATTAAAAAATTATATGTGTCAGTAAAAAATTAAAAAATCTCCCAAGCGAAAAATAAAAAGTTCATCATCCCACTTGTTAAAACTCTTAAAGTATGAAAAATCTACAATTATCACGCGTTTTTTTTCTCATTTACATAGACGGGGATCTTAATAACTTAATAATTTTTATAAAATATTATTTTTGTTTACAATTTGAATGCATTTTTTTGTAACGCAAAAATGCAACACCCTTCCACTTAAGTTAGACTCACCAATCAGCGAATGACCAACTTCTTTCGATTTCGACTTTAAAGATCTTGTATCTCCACCAAATCTATTCTTCTTAATCTTTAATGTCTTCTAATTTCTAACGACGGTTGTTATTGTCTAATATTCTTCACTTCTAAGGACTGTTTGTATTCGATTACAATCTGAAATTCTGAATCCTTCTGTTTCTTGTCAACCCCTTGTAAACGATTATCTCTTGATCTCTATAGGCAATTGACGAACTCGATTCACTTCTGTTAACCTGATTCCCGATAAATTCTTCTAGTCTCTTTTTAATTATATTTTGTTTTAACCAGTGTTGTTAAAATAGCGTGCTACTTTTTTCAGTAGCGGTAGCTTTAGCAGGCTACTTTTTTTAGAAAATAGCGATAGTGGTAGCTCGCTACTAATTTAAAAAGTAGCGAAGTAACGCGCTACTTCGCTACTTTCAATTTTACATAATAAATACATCTAAAAATTATTAAAATATATTTTTAATAAAATCTAAAAATGATAATCCTTTTATTTAATTTAATTTTGAAATTTAAATTTATATTTAAAAATATACATTATAAATCTAGTTAGCATTATAAATCTAGTTATTAAAAATAAGTGAGATTGTTGAAGATAAGAAATTTCTTTGGAAAATGAGAAAAATATAGATTATCTTTTCCCAAAATTCAAAAAATAATTTAATCTTGAAGAAAAAATTACTACTGGATATCGGTTTCGTTATCCTCAAATCATACAAGCAGTTGAAAAAACATTTA